TGTGGTTGGGCGTTCAGTGTTCAAGCCACAGTCGAGTGTACTTTGTGTCGAGGCTCGCTCGTCATTTCATGAGGTCGTTCGTCATCATCACTCAAAAATGGCAGATTTGTGAGATTTGCGTAAATCGTGAATTCACGTCACATTCATTAATTAGTTTATACAAATCTCTGCCTGCACTCTGGAAAATTAAACGTAACAATTCACCATAAGCATTTTCATCCATCCGTATATAATTACGAAAATCGTTTGGATTGTCTCTTAAATCCTTAATTAGATTAATATGTATATGAATTTTTCTATTCAACAGCCATTTTTTTGTCCACTTAATTTTGACTTTTGCGTTGTCTTTTTTTTTAATAGCAAAAACTTGAAAAGTAGTAGCATAAGAAATGTTCCTTCATTAGGAAACATTGTTTACACGCCAATGATTTCGATAAGAATGAGGCTTGCGCGTGCCGTGTGGTAACGCACAAAGTGTACAGTTCTTTCGTGCGAGATGCTTGCGCAGGCCAAACTGTGGTGAAGCTTGTGCGTGTGGTAAGCGCATAACACAATGCCGCCCGTTTTACTTGCGCATGAAAGAGACAACGTCTTCAACGCCGTCGCGCCGCTAGGGACACGATATCGAATAGAAAGTATCGATACTGTACTCATGAGTAGTATCGGTAAAAAAGTATCGTACTTGTAAAAGTATCGAAACAAAAGTATCGATACTTCAAAGTATTGAGTACATTTCATAGGGCCTTACCGCGTCGTCGGAATCAATTTTATTTAATTTTGTCGAGCTACCTTCGAAAGACTTTTATTGAGCGTTCGGTTATTTCATTGTTCGATTTTTAAAGTTTTATTGACTGTACAGGGTGTTACAGAATTCCGAAATAAAATTTGTAGGTATGTATTCCGAAATAAAAATTTGTAGGTATCTGAGCGGGGCGCAGGGGCGCCTGGAGGAGAGAGGCTTGTCATAGGCAGGTGTAAAACGATATTTTTATTAATTTAATTAGAAAATAAAAGTGGACTGAAAGGCGTCAAACTTTCGTAGGTAATTCTATACAAGGAAAACAACCAAACCCCAAAGTTTTATTTCGGACTTTTGTCACACCCTGTATATGGATTTATTACTTAATTTAGTTAATAAAGTACTTTATTTAAAAATCTTTTTTGTAATTTTGAATTTATTTATTTGACCCTAACTACCGTAAACTACCACAGGTTCCAAAATTGGGAGATCTTTCTGAGAAAAACCGGCGAAACAAACTCAAAATAAATAAATAAAGTTTCGTGCATTAACCTGTGAAAAACTAGTTTTATTTAAATCAAATACAGTCAAGCGAAAAGCACAATAAATGGCGAATCAATCACAGTTCCTAATAATATGGTCGTTAAATAAATAACTATGAAACAAAACAAAGCGCAAAATAAACACAGTCACAGATTGGAAAGAATTTGAATATGTCAGTTACTGACTTTATAACGACGCAATAGGGTATTTGACAGTATTAAAAATAAAGTGCCAATTGTTAGCATCTGTCTTTAGGTTGAATATTGGCATGGGTTTTTACTATTTTTACAAAAAAATATTCATAATTTTACTAAAAACTAACGAAAAAGATACTGGTGTCAATTCTGGCGTGATTCTCTAAACTTAAAACTAAATTTAAGGTCAGTCTCACCTTTTCATTCTGTATACAAGGACAAGGATGCACTGGTATCGATTCTGGCATGATTCTCTAAACCAAAACTTAAATTTGACAACAGTGCATCCTTGTCCTTCTCTATACAGAATGGAAAGGTGAGACTGACCTTAAACTTAATTTTAAGTTTAGAGAATCACGCCAGAATTGACACCAGTGTTGTCAAAATGTTTAGCTTTAGAGAATCATGCCAGAATCGACATCATTAGTTTTCTTATCTATTGTCACGTGACCCAAAACGCTTGGGATTGGCGGAGCCTAAAATGACGTCACACGCAAGTAAACTTCCGGTTAAAGTGACATTACATTGTATCGTTTGACGTTTAAATAACAGTCGTGTGACATCACACACTAGTGGGACGCCATATTGTCCAGAGAAACGTTTTCGCGGCAACTTGAAAATTGAGTTTTTGATTTGGTTATTTTTACTGAAATACACGACAGAATGATGAATATCCACATTTTACGTACTCCATAAACATTAGTCAACAACGTGAGATCGTTGCCTAAAACTTGTCAAATACCCTATGGAACGTTTTAGGAGGTTTGCTATGATTTAACAAGATGGCGTTGCCATCAATATGAGGCGCTTATCCAAATTTTTAAAGGTATCGATACTTGCCAAAAAGTACTCATTTAGTAAAACTATCGAATACGAAGTATCGAGTACAAAAGTATCGGTATCGAAAGGAAAAGTACTCGATACCACAAAGTATCGATACTTTTTTCGTGTCCCTACGCGCCGCTGGTGCCGCCGCGGCCGGCAGTTTATGTATGTGCATGTGTGTGTAGGGTAGGCGAGCTGGCAACATTTCGTCGAGTAACGACGAGTGACGTCAACGAGAGTGCGAGAGTGTGAGTTTGGTTTTAAACCGAATCAAATTGATTGAATTGATTTATATTGTTTGAAAACAATGAATTTTTTTTATTTACCAACACAGAGCTTTTAACACGGAACACAGAAAAAGGTTTCTGTGGTTTTTAACTTAAGAGTTTTTATAACTTAAGTAGGTAATACCTATGCTTGGTCGCGGATGGACCAACTAGAACTTACTAAACTCGCTAAGTATATCAATATCAGTAAGTATATCACACATTTAAAAAATCTTTATACAGTTTATAGGTACTCCGTTATATTCCTACCTCGGTAAAATCAAGAAAATGTAGTTTTAATTAAGAAAAACAGCCATCAATACCAACCGTTGTAAATAAAAATTGGTTTAATTGGTTTTAAACCGACTTTACATCTATAACCCCGACCGCCTTCACCCGAGAGTGTATAAGCAGATCCACCGAACTGCACCATGCGTTCCAGTCGACTTGTCAAACCGCCTGATAAACCAGTGTTGCCAACTCGGATTTTGAAAAATGCGTAGGCCCGATGAGAAAATTACGTAGAATTGGTAAATTTTGCATATGAAAAGTACGTAGATCTACGTACTTTTTTCTGAGTGAAATGAAGAAGTTAGGTGAAACCGAATTAAACGAGTATTTTATTATACAATTTCTTTAAAAACGGGCGATAGAACAAAGAATTCTTGGAGAAGTCGCTGCATTGGAAGCATAAATGCTTTCAACTATACCATACCACAGCATGGTAAACCATGCTGTGGTAGACATTTACCATCAGACACAGACACTGGTGGATGTCGATTCTGGCATGATTCTCTAAATTTAAAACTAAATGTAACATCAGTCTCTCCTTTTCATTCTTTATAGAGATTGACAAGGATACAATTATTATTTGCAATTATGTTTTGAAATGTTAATGATTGTTCTATCAGACCGAAAAAAAATGTATTTTTTATACCTACAAGACATACAAAAACGCTATATATTCTATAGACTTATCTATGCTATGACGTCAAAACATTTGTAAACGAACACACGCAAGCACGTAGGAAATAAACTTTCTGAGTTAATATTATAAAACCATGATTTCTAATAGATCACATGAAAAATTTAGTAGTTATCATGATACACTTGGTAAAAGACTAGAAAAGTTGTGGTTTAAATTGCCAAGAGAAATAAACATACTTCATGAACACATGTTTAAAACTTGCTAAATCCTGTAACTTTATCCACTGAAAGTCATTTTTTTTTGCAAAGATCAATTCGATGTAAGTACTCATTGAATAATATTACAGTTTAAAATACAATTTTTAAGGTTATGAATGTACCTACTAAGTTAGAGTTTTGTCGTTTCTGCTTTCACAAATCCTGCGTCCAGCATTAATTTAGTCAACAAAAACAATAACGGGAACCCTTTCTACAAGATACAAGAGTTTTAAGAGACATTTTTATAAGAAATAAACATTTGTATAGTTTTTAAGTAAAGTAACGGAAAATATTCTTCTATATTCTAGTGAATTAAGTTATTTTACAAATTTGAAAAAAAATAAGAAAATACGTAGATTCTGGGATTGAAGTTAGTAGGTTTGCAGAAAAGGCCTAAAATACGTAGATCTACGTAAAAAGACGTAGAGTTGGCAACACTGTGATAAACTTACGTTCTAAATGTGTATTAAATTGAGTTTTGTTTTTTATGTGTCGAAGTGAATGTTAAGTTAGTACTGGTGTCGATTCTGGCATGATTCTCTAAACCTAAACTTAAATATTACAACAATGTATCTTTGTCATTCTTTACACAGAATGAAAAGGAGAGACTGATGTTAAATTTAGTTTTAAGTTTAGAGAATCATGCCAGAATTGACACCATTATCTGTTATGTATTTTTAAGTAAACTTGGCGATAGTAGTGGCCGGGAGGATGTTGTGGCCTTCTTGAATATTTAATTTTTATACCTCGTTTAGACTATCCCATGCCGCTGCCCCTCGCGTTGCCGGCAATAATTCCCTAAATATTGCTGTGGCATGATTGAGAGAAGTGTGTATTTACATACTGCTCTATCTCTCACTTCGCTTCGGAGTTTCGGCAATGGCAGACGTTGAAGTAATTACAGCGGCCGCGCTGTGTCTTCTTGCAATCCATAATTATGTTCGAAATTTAAAAATATATCAAGTACAAAAAAAGAAAGTTCGTCGTAGAAGATGGTGGATGTTATCTATCCATCGTAATAGAACTTTGTAAGTAGCTACCAACCCACGTAACTAAGCGACGCGCAGAGTGTGAACACGCATTGCCACTCGTGCTGCCAGTCCTTTGACTGCCGCACAAAAAACCGCTCTTTTGGGGAGCGCCGGGCAGCGCGAGTGGCAATGGCAGTGGCATGACGAGTATCGTGTTTACATACTTGTCATACCCACTTTTGTGCTCACTTCCCTCCTTACTCGCGCTGCATGTAAACGAGGTATTATACTTTTGCTATTGTCCATGTTTTGACTGTCAAAAATGAAATACAATCAAACACCAAGAAAAAATGTCAGTTCCTTTTATTAGTTATTTATAAATATTATATCAACCTTGCACACACACACATAAGCTGCGTTTTTATCGTCCGATAGTTCTCCTACCGGCCGAGTACCGAGTACGAATTATATCGAACTCGAATAGTTGAATTCGATCTCGCTCGCTCACAGAAAACCACTACAGCTGAGTTTGTTGAAATCCACCTTGTACCTGATCGTAACGCTAAAATTGATGAGCAGGGTTACTAACTCTACGACGTACTTTTGAAATAGACGATTTTGCAATTCATGCACTCATGTCGATATGTTTGTGTTGTTTGGTTTATATTGTAGACTAAGGCTAAGAACTCACGCAGCGCCCGCCGCGACAGCTGGACCGCAACTTGCGTAGAATGTGAAAACGCAATAGCACTTCGCCAGATCTCGCAGCGGCTGCGGGACCGCAGAAAATTGCGATCTCGTGAGTGTTGTTGCAGCAAAAAACCGCACCGTGAGTTCTTAGTCTAAGACCAAGAACTTCGATCTAAATAAATTATTTATTTCTTTATGATCAGGCTACATAGGCCCATAGATAGATACCTAATAGTCTTACAGATATAAAAAATTGTTGTTAGTAAAAAAAATATCCAGATCACGCCAGCTAGCCTACGAATGTCATCATCCCATCTTGTCTCAGTTTACCGAGTCTCGTCTCCACTCAAGAACTTTACGGCTCCATCGGCCGTCAGTTCTGCGGCTAATGTGACCAGCCCACTGCCACTTCAGTTTGCTAATTCGGTGGGCTATGTCGGTGACTCTGGTTCTCTGTCGGATTACATCATTTCTGATGCGGACTTTCAGGGATACTCCGAGCATAGCCCTTTCCATAGCTCTCTGAGCGACTTTAAACTGGTGGACCAGCCAGCCGTGAGTGTCCACGTCTCGGCGCCGCATGTCATAACTGGGAGGACGCACTGGTCGAAGACTTTCGACTTGAGACATCGAGGGATGGGTGACGAGAAGACTTGACGAAGCTTACGAAATGCTGCCCAGCCCAACTGAATTCTACTCTCTCAAAGTTGTTCCTGCCTAATCGGAGCGTGTGTCCTAGATAGACAAATTCCTGAACAACTTCGAGAGGTACTCCATTAACAGCTGAGTGAGGTGGATGAGAGTGGCAGAAAATCGGGAGCAGTGGCGTGCATTAGGGGACACCTATGTCCAGCAGTGGACGTCCATGGGTCGATGATGATGATGATGAAAAAAAATATTAACTAGGTATATTAGTAAATACCTAATTCTTAATAACACCCACTGCATGTTACTCGTATGTGTAGCTCGATTACGCAGTGGTTAGCGCGTTCGGTTTGCGATTGTGGAAGTCACAGAACTCGTTACATAACTTTAGTAATAGCAGTCAAACAATGGGAATATCCTGTGGGAATATCCATTGATTGTCTATATAGCGCTCTTCCGTGTTCCGAAAAGCATCTCCAACTCGCAAACCGTACTTGACCTGCTTGATGGCCATGCCTGAACCTTCCTATTTTATCCATAGGAAAGGAAGGGCTTTGTCCAAGCAGTGTGGAAATTTGTAGACTGATGATGACTGCCAGTTTATCATAGAGGAAAAAAATTTTTTTTTGTACCAGCTGCCGCGTACGAGTTAGTCCGCGTTATGTAGTTAGTTTTTTGAGAATCCCACATGCACCTAACATTTTCCGGGGTAAAAAGTGTAGTAAGTACTTAACTAGTATAAATGTCGGTATTTTCATCCAAATTGACTGACTCACTCAAAAACAAACATCAAAACAACTTCCACGTTTATATTATTAGTAGGACAATGATAGCTGGTCCTGAAAATAAAGGATAAATAAATAAAGACTATAAAATAAGTGTTTATAAAATAACAAAGAATTCATAATGTATTTCTGTTCTCTTTTATGATAGAAAAAGGTACAATGTTTACAAATGCTGATTGATGAAATCGATGAAGTATGTGATTCTGGCGAAGACCGACGGTAAGTTGGCTGTGCAGCCCAGAGCTGAACCAAAGGAGGTAGCGCCAATCTGTAATGAAGGTTCTTATTTGAACTATGCATAATACAAATCTGGAAACTAAGTACAATACGCCCGAGGACTAAATATCCATCGATCGATGTAATAATGAGTGGCTTGTAATACATGTTTCGTAAATTAATTAAGTTGCATAAATAATTTGTTTTTTCTTAGCATTTACTTTATCTCCAATAAAATATATTGTTGATAACAGCCATTAGCCATCGGCAGACCATTATTCTATAAATAGATAGATAGATATACATATTATATTTTGTGAGTAGATTTTAAATTTTGCCGTATCGTGAATCGTGATAATTTTCCAAATAGATGTAAACAGTTTCGCGAAGCTAATTTACTTTTGCGACCAAACTAATGTAATTTATAAATAATAATAATTTTGTTTCAGTCTAAAATGCATAAAGTTAATAACTATCAAGGAAGTATATAACTGGTGGTATTTAGTGCCCAGTCCTACCAACAGTCACTATTCAGGCCAATTATTTAATTTCATATAAAACCAAGGAGGATTTTGTTGAATATCATTCGACAAAATAGATTTATCCAACTGGAGACATTGCTTATATCTTTAGTCAAATCAAAGCGGTGTCTTACATTAAAAGACAGAAGGAGAGATGCTAAGAACCATTCCTCAGGCCCAAGCATCGCCAAAGTTTCTATGAAAACTAAGCAGCGCCCCTATGGGACATAAGAACAAACTAGCTTTTTCATAGAAAAGTTTACGATAACGATACTTTACGGAGCTGTCAAAAACTCTTGCTCCAGCCTCTTAACCTTGATAGTTCGAAAGCCTTGCTACATTACTAATACTTAGATACTGTTAAAAAATAGTCAAAAAATTACTTTAAAAGTTTGCGTACCAAAATGCGTCTGTTATTCCTAGTGACGACTAGAGGACCACCTGAGTCACCGCGACAGGCGCCCACGCCTCCGACGCCACTTGTGCAAAGGTTACTCGGTTGAAGTATGAAGGGGAACGCGTAACCGCACACCGAGTTGGTGATCACGTTAAGGCTCACATGGCTCAGGTACTGGCTAGTCGTGATGTTTGCAGCTGAATACATTAAACAAAGGAAAATTGTTAAAACGGGTAATTATATATGGAAGGGTAAGATACAAGACAAGCGTAGGTAGTTTTCATTTCAATTATACAACAATACTAACAGTCACTAGTGAGTCCGAATCCAGATGCGATAGCAGTAGAGCCCACGAAGTTTTCAAGCAGTTCAGCGCCAGACGGAAGAGCCACGGGTGCGATGAGATCTGAATTAGAGTAAAACATGAAAAGTACCTAAATGTAATGTACTATAAAATTGTAAGTACATCTATGCTTTAAAACCTCTATAGCAGATTTTCAAACAGTTAGTTTATTGCCAACGTTAAAACTTCCAAAGTAGTATGTGCGTGGTATCGTATGAATTTAAAAACAAAAGAACATTGTCATTCGCGCACTTTTCACTACTACGGCGCTGAAATTGTTTATGAATTTAAGTTCTTAGAATGGATTCATTTCATGGACATAGAAAGAGTCTTGTAAGCAACTGTTAATAATTAGGTATTAAAACACTCATGTGATACTATTATGACAATCCAAATTCGTGTTTTAAAACCCCTCATTATACAACAGTTGCATAAATAACTATTATTTATTATGAATTTTCATCTTCAACAAAAAATCCAGGTAGTTGACTTTATGACGGAGTGCAGTTCACACAAGCGTCATTTCGGAAGGGAAGAACTAGTACTCGCCATTTAATGAGATACTATAATATTGAGCGACAAGACTGTAGGATGTTAGTCAGTAGTCAGTTCAGTACATCGTTGGTCCTTGTGTACAAAGTACAAAGTGGTTGTAATAAGTTCGTAAGCGTGATTCAGGATTTCTTAATCCTTCACATCACAACACATGATAAGTGATACGTCTCGTGACGTTGTAATGTTTACCATACTGTACTTTTCGCTTATCTTGCTAATCCAAGATTGTAGCGATATTGTTATGGGCTTATATTGTTTATAATAAAAATATGTACATAAAGCTCTTTAAGAAAGACAACAGACTTTCGTAGTATGGCCGCAAGTTATGAGGAGAGATTATATTATGAACATGTGATAGGTGAAGACAGTGATTGATGAACATGAATAAATAAATAAAATAAATATTTCCAACACTCACACCAATTAGCCTAGCCCCAAGCTAAGCACTATAAGGCTTGTGTTATGGGATACTAGGGTAACGGATAGAATACATATACTGTACATATGTAAGTATATTTATATAGAAATACATAATAAACATCCATGACTGGAGTACAAAAGCTCGTATTCATCACACAACATCTGCCCCCACCGGGATTCGAACCCGGGATTTCATGAATGTGAAGAAATATAGGGTAGAGGAATGGCAAAGAATAATGGCATGGTTAGGTTAGACTGTGTGAATGATGATATCGCCAAGAGAGAATATAATGAGGAGATAGCGGGTGATAGGGTAGGAAACCAATAAAATGTATTACAAGATAATATTATAAATTATAAAGACCCATTGTCAATATTTCGTGTTGTCTCCCTACATGCCAGGCGTAAAAGATATGATTTACTTTGCCTTCATGAGATTCTGCACTCATACATCGATGCTCCAGCTTTGCTCTCGTCACTCTCAGTTAATACGTTGTATAGATTCCGCATTCCAAATAAATAGGCAATTCAAGTTTTTAAAAATAACACCTCTTATTATAATCTTATAGTCAGAATGTGTGTTATAACGAATTTTCAAAAACAACAAGCATATCTAGTTTTTTCGGATTCGGTTCGACTCAAGATCCTTAATTACCATATTTTATTACCTAGTTTTATTAACTGTGTTAAAAGGTTTAACCTAATTTAAAGGTTAGTTTTGTTTTTATGCCATTTACTTATGCTGTGTAAACAGTTGTGGGTTTCAGTTTACATTTTTACCAGATTTATGTTTTTTAACCATGTAATCGACTCTATGTTTGTGTACCAATTAAATAAATAAATAAGAAAAATAAAAAACCGGCCAAGTGCGCGTTCAGCCACGAGCAGTGTAGGGTTCTGTAGTAGCTCGTCCTCATCACACTTAGTTTAGAAAGTGTCTATATTTTAAGCAATTACTTAGTCTAAGTCACTTTAGATGTTTTCTCCAAAGGATTTTTTATTAGGTCTGAACTTTGCAAATACATAAGTTAAACGACTATAAACTCTTAAACTGAGTGATCTATCATAACCGTTATATTTTTCCTTAAAAGTTCATTAAAAGAATTATTATCATGAACTTTCCCAGATTTTTCAAGCCAATAGTTTATCTTAAAAAAGGGGGGGGGGGGATGCCCTACTCGAACTAAAATTTGCACTTAGTGTCATATTCCTCAAACGGATCCTTAAATCGAAAATTAGTCTTAGCAACCTCCAAACCATTTAAAAGGATCTATTCAACGATACCCCAATTATTTCCAGGTTACATGTAGCTACCCTAAAAAATATTTTCACAATTTTATTCCACCACTTTATAGGCATGATTGATATACATATCTCCACAAAATTATAGCTCTCTAGTGAGTATAGTCTCTAAGCAAAACCGGGGACCGACAGACAGACATGACGAAACTATAAGGGTTCCTTCTCAGAACTACGGAACCCTAAAAAGGGAGGAAGGGCAAATGATGGTTATTACACTTACTTGAAATGGCTACGTTAGAGCTTAGATATATGACGCCAATATCATTGCGTGCTAGTTGTGGGAACCAGTTTGGATGATTCCTCATAGCACTGGTTTGGATCCTGATGCCACCTTGGAAGAGAGTGACACTGCCAAGGATGACGGTGAACCTCCAGGCCTGGTGTCTCCCATCATACCAGCAGTGGGCAGCAGTTACAAGCCTGGATGGGCTGATTAGAGTAGCACCGCAGACCGCGTTGCCAGAAATGCCGACAAGGTCGATTAAAAGGCCAGCCTAAGGTCAGAATATAATAGTTATTAATGAACAGTACGAAGATTATACATAACAATATTATGTATATATATCATGCTTTGATTCTTACGTATAATTATTTATAGTTTTATGTTCGTGTGGCTAGGTTTTTTGTTTCAAGCTATAATGGGTACCTTTATTTTACGCAATCAGTGATAAAAACTTTTGATATTATTACTGTCTGTGGTGATCACAATAATGAGATCATGGAGGACGTCCGTGGTTGGTTACTTCACCTAGATGGCTACGAAGCTATATGATACTAAGATGGTTGTGTGAAATAAAAAATGGATTAACTCAAGAATAAGGTAGTTATAGATAAGTTTACAGGAAAGTCGTAGGTATATACCGCTTACAAAATGTCGTGTCAAGAATAGGAATGAAATCTACGATTATGTTACCAATAAGATAAATATTATGTATCGTGTTTTTAGTGTTTGAGAATGTGTATCAGCATATTGACGACCTCCGTGGCTTGAGTGGTATTTTCACCGGTTTGCAAGGTGTCGCCTACTCAGAGGTCCCGGGTTTGAATCCCGGTCGGGCAAAATTTTCAGTGATAAATACGAGCATTTGTTTTAAGTCATGGATGTTTTTATATATTTGTATTTAGCTCTCGAGTAGGCGACACCCGATGTTTATACCACTCGGCCACGGAGGTCTTATAAAAAAAATATTTTTAATTTTTTAATGTATAGATATCTAAAATAAATAGCATTAATCATTAGTTTAGTTCATACTTAATTTCACACAAAAATATTCTTTTGACGTGAAATTTGATTTGCAAGTCTGAGTTAGACGTAAAATCTGCAACGAACATTTTGGAATTAGAGATGGTCAAGAAACGTTGAATGGTTGCATATGGAGGTTGTGAGGAGAGGATATTTGTACTTTATGCCTTAGTCAGTGTTACAGGACGAAGTGCCTCTTTTCTAACTGGGAAAGCCGTTACGACTAATTGATCCACCGAGAGTAGCGCCGACAGGGTATCTGTAGACTGCTACCCGTTCATTTCACGAAGCCCCGATGCTCGGCGAAATGAGCAGGGTACTATCCAGTAAAAACCAGATAATACTCCTGCACCGGTCTCCCGGCACGCAATCTGGGTACCGCAGTCCCCCCAATGCGTGTCGGGAGTGCGGAGATATTGCGGCACCAATATATAATAAGGTATATCAATACTGGCCGCGCAAAGTGCCTACCTGATAAGGGTATTGTCCCGCTCCAGCCGCGACACCACCAACGATTCTACTGCTGAGAAACCTTTCTTCGGCTTCACGCCTCTTGTCAAACTCAGCAGCAGACCTCTCCAAGTATCCATAAGCAGTATGCGAGGGCAAGACCTTGGCCTGAACAGTGGCCACCACAACTAGCAGCGCGATAAACAATTTCATTGCAACAATTTAAAGGATCCACTGATATATGAACTAATGCCACTTATTTATACTGATTGATTATAGAGATATTAACGATTATGCTTATGTTGCATTGGCTAATTGATTTTGGATTACTTATTATCTTTGAATATAAGTTTATATTATCTGTGATTTTGGTGTTCTTTAATATTAAAGAGTTAAGTATGTTTATTATAACAGTTGATTTGATATCATCGACCTTTAACTGCATTATCTACCTAATTTTATTTGAAGGAATTTTGATTATCTATCTGGTAAGTACTGAACAGGTGTGCCACAACCACAACTTTGCCACAAAGTACTTTAACACCGTAGACAGAAAATTTAATGAATTGAAATTTCACTTCTATTATAAAAACATATCCAAATGCTAAACTAAAACTATTTTTTTGTAATATACCTAGTCAGGTCATAAATTCTGTCACATGTTTAATATAAAATAATTGAAACAAGTTTATTCATTATGTAACCATTTATATACCAAAATGAACTTAACAAAACATAGATTCTTATGACATTAAAGATTATTCAAAATGATCTCCGTGATTTTGAATACAGGCCTTCAATCTGCGCAGCCAGTCGTTTATCGCAGCACGAACGAGGTCCATGTCAATATCGGCGGCTGCCTTAATCAAGGATGTCTTGAGTGACTCCAAATTGGGATGAGGCTTTGAGCAAGCCTTTTCCTCTAAGTGTTGCCATATCTTGTAATCTAACGGACTCAAATCTGGACTGGAGGAGGGCCATTCTTCGTGCCGGATGAAGTTGATTTCACGCTCGATTTCAGTCTTGTGTGCTCTTCGCTCTATGAGCTGGCGCCGAATCTTGTTGGAATACCCAGTGCCTGTTATTGAACATGGTATGAGAAACAGGTTCCACAAGGTTCGTCAGGACTGTATTTTGATACACAACTGCATTCGTTTTTACACCTTTCTCACAAAAATGTACCTCTGTTAAGCCCCAATAAGAAACTTCCAAACATACCATGAGCGAGGATGGAAAATGACCTCGTTGGACACGCGGAATACGGTTGCTCGCTTCTTCACTACTGTGTGCATATACCTTATCATTTTGTTTGTTGTAGCTCTTTTACGGTAAAGTTTTTTTCATCCGAAAAAAGAATTTCCCGATATTTATTGCCCGCGTACCGCTTCACTTCAACAAAGCGCGGCATATCTTCAGTCTCAGGTCCATTAGACGAGCATTCAAACGATATCCCCTTTTTCTTCTATATGCCCGAAGTCCTAAGTCTTCATTTAACACCCATTTCACCGTGGTTCTGCTTAACCCCATCTGAAAGGCCAACAGTTTCTGCTTACGTTTGGGATTTTTATTGAATTCGCGCCTTCACAGCTTTTATCACTTCTGGAGTCCTAATAGACCGAGGGCGACCACTTCTTGACCTGTCATCTACACTAGAGTCTTCATTGTATCGTTTGATGGTACGACAAACGAATCTTTTGGTTATATTATTGTATTCAAAATTTTCAGTATGTCAAAAATTTGAATTGGCGCGTAACCGCAACGATGCAACGCAATAACTGCAACACGGTCTTCTTTAAGCGTCCACTCCATATTCAAAAAATGAGTAAAATTCTAAAAAGTATACATTTTTATTTTCATGAACAATTCGAAATTCGAATTCAATAAACTTTTTTGTGGCCAGTATTCGAAAAGAAAACTTTTTACTGTGTGACAATACTTGACTATGTATTAATAAATGGAAATTGTGAAATGTTGAAAACAATACAGTAATTCTACTGTACCGATAGAAATGCTCAATCACAGTAATTTATATCGTCTTTGTAATATAGCATCTTTAATAAAAAGATCATATAATTTTACATTTCAGTTTTTCAGGTGTCGAGGCTTCGTCGTGACGTCTGAAGCTGGGGAAGGAGCTGGACCTTCGACTATCTGCGGACGGATCCCTCCAGGCCTGTGTTTCCTCTATTACCCTTATTACCTGCCAGGATGCGATAGCCACAGAATTTTGATGTGGGCACTATAAAGGATTTATTTGCTACAAATAAATCTTTTTATCACCGAACCCACTACCTGCGACCAGTACCGGCCGCAGTGGCGCCTTCAACGTGTGTTCTTGTCGCCTGAATCGCGTCTTGGTAGTTTCCCTCAGGCTAGCTTAAACTGTCCGTGGTACAGTTTCTAGTCGTTGCTGTGAGCGCGGGGTGACTATTGCGTGAGCTGGTACGTATATATCTTCCATAATATAACTACTGCGAAAATATTGTGTTTTGCTTTGTGTGCTTGTTATTTAATTATTCGATTTATTGGTAACTGTTACGTTGATAAATTCTAAGGGAAGTAGGGACTATAGCAGACTTCTCGCTCGAGCTGGAGCGCCCGTCTAGGGAAATTACCTCCACCTTGCAAAAATCAATATCTTTTTATTTGCATAGTATAAGATAATAAATGTTTCAGTTATAATAGCACGCAAAAAATCTAAAGAAGAAATTTTTGCCAGCCGAAGAATAGCTAAGAGAAAACGCTATGCTGCAATAAAAGAAAAAGAAAAATCTATCGATGATTTGAAACCACGTGCACAAAGAGAAAGACGAACGCGATGGAAGATAAATAGCAAGCTGTGACACTGAGAGGGAAAACAAAGAGAACAGACATAAAATACATATTCAAATATCTATTACGTACTTCTTGTGTTTCATTGGAAATTACTAAACGAAAGAAAGTAGCCAACACTAAGAAAACCATTTCCAAAATGATCAAACAGTAAGGACGAGTATGCGACATAAAATTGACATTACATACTAAATCTGAATCATTTGTTCAGCCTTTGTCATCTGATCTAAAGGGTCATTGGCAAAATTCAACATTATAGTGGGTTCCCAAGCAAGTCATACTCGCGTCAATTTAAAGAATTAATCGCTGGTTATCATCAAGTTCAGGCACGCAAGGACGAAAAAGTTGAAAAAAATATCAAAGATACACCGCAAAAAAGAAAGGGAAGGGTAAAAGGGAAAAAAGCAAATAAATAAAATAAAGTTCAAAAAATGTATTTTAAATATCCTGTCAACTTGAAATCAACATCATTTACTACATTCACTTTTCATATGTTCAAATTAAGCTGCAAGTGCAGCTTATTTTGAACTACATGAAGAGTGAATATAATATATACGAGTATATAATATCTGCTTCAATAGGGTGTAAAAAAAACTATTTATTTAACTACGACGACCTCCTTGTCCGAGTGGTTTGTACGCCGGGTTTCATGGTGTCGCCGACTCGAGAGGTCCCTGGTTCGAATCCCGGTGGGGGCAGATGTTTGTGTGATGAATACGAGCATTTGTACTCTAGTCATGGATGTTTAATATGTATTTCTATATAAATATACTTATATATGTACAGTATATGTATTCTATCCGTTACCCTAGTATCCCATAACACAAGCTTTATATGTAGTATAGTATATAGTATCTTTAGAGCTTTATAGCTTGGGGCTAGGCTAATTGGTGTGAGTGTTGGAAATATTTATTTATTAACTATCTGTGGTCAACGGTGTTGGTTTCACAAATACCTAAACCATATTATTGTTATTATTTTTAAGAAATTATTTTGTGAAACTGTTTGTTGATCCAAAAAGTTTATGATAAAGGTGATGGCCAGAGATCTTATTTATACTTAGTTATGGCCAATTTGTTATTACAAATGTGTTCATAAAATGATCACTGATCTAGTACATCATCTTCATCTCTCTAATATTTTTGTCAATTTGTTTTTACGTTCAAATTTACTTACTTTTCAATCGTCTCGCTACCTACAATGCGAAGACATGGTGCTGCCTTGCGGCTTAAGAAAGGCATGAAATAATTCGACACGTTCGTCAGGGTCGCGGTAGCATAATGGTCAGTGCATTTGCCCGGATAGCGAAGGGTGCGGGTTCAAGTCCCGTCTGCTGCCTGGTCCGCGTAGATGTTTTTCTAGTAATACTTTCTTTAGATTTAAATATCGAGCAGTTGCATGGTTAAAAATCATACTAGAAGCTGCGCTTGCCAAAAAGTTTTTTTTTAAATTATTTACTTATACTATCTTAATCGTTTTGTTTAAAGTGTGTTCTACTAATTGGAGAGGTTTCCAAAATTAATGGTCTATTTCAATTTCGAATAAAAACTATTTTTACTTTGGATTAAATGATGTTGATTAATTGCCAAACATATTGTCAACTTTATTTTAAATCTATTTTACTCGATTACATATTTATTCGTTTAGTTAAAAGATTATATAAGCTCAGTAGGAGATAATTTTGTTTTCTACCAAATAAAAAAAAATGTGTTGATTAATGGTGAGTAACTAGACTCATCGCAACCAAATTTTAATGTGATGTGAATTTTAACATGATTTACTTCAAAACCCAAAAATGGGGCTAAACAATTACTGCACCAAGTGTACCTTTAATTGACTACCTACTAATTTTTGATCCAGAATTAGTTACAACTTCCCTATTTAGCTTCAAAACATTTAATTTTTTTTGTTATAAAACTGCGTAAATATTGCAATAACTGGAGATCCAACCTAAAGATGCGTTTTATTAGCCTAAAATAAAATAATTGTGAAAGCAAATACTATCGTTATGAGCTAGTTGAATTCGTTGTTAACTATAAAGTGTAATAATAGTGACTATTGGATTAATTTAACATAAATTATAGTAACCGCTTGTAAGATCTTCTTCATAAACTCGAGCGTATTAATGATTGTTATTCTTGTTTTGTAGTGAATACTTGAAAACTTACTATTTAAGAGCAATTTTAAAGTTACATTGTTTCTATGTCTGTATGGGTCTTTAATCTTGTCGAGGGATTGAAGACATTGTGTTTTAAGATTAATGTGTGCGTGAAGTATGTAAGTTAGTGGTCGTAACGGTAGTAAGTTTGGGTTAGTAGTATTAGTCGGATTTTGCATGTTAGCACGCAAAATCATTCGCATCGTGGCGGGGTACTGTAACGTTGTTCGTTAATATATAGGCCTTAATAACAATAAGTTTTAATTTTAATATATTCTTAAATTTTAACGTAAACTGCGTCAAAGGCGAAATCTTAATTCTATAACCTTATCGTAACATTGATTACGTATAAAATAGGAAGACAAGTACATTCCAGCTGCGCAACCGCGTGCGTGTAACAAAAATAATAAATAAACAACTGTTCAACAGTTGTTGCCGCGTTCAAAGCTGTAATCATAGCCACGCAATCACTCAGGACGCCCTTTGTATGTAATGTTATGTAACGTCGGCCTGTCCAAATTCTTATATAAATTATGAACCATTGGCCGTTGGGACCGTTTTGCGAAGACTGGGAGCAATTACCAAGGTGCTGCCCTTTAGGTTCTAGGTGTTAACTCCACCCTCAACGTGTAAAGAGGTGTGACTTCGGTTTCCTGAGGCTATCTGAGAACCTTCAGCCGGAAAACCACAACAATTTGAATCATAACGGAAAGTCGTCGGCTGTACCTACCGACGTTTTGTACTGACGTCTGAAGCTGGGGAAGGAGCTGGACCTTCAACTATATGTGGAAGGATCCTCCCAGGCCTGTGTTTCCTCTATTACCCTTCTTTCCTATCAGGACGCGACGGCGACAGAATTTTGATTTAGGCACAATAAAGGATTTATTTTCTACAAATAATTCCTTCTATTTCTGAACCCACTACCTGCCAACCTACTTACCTACCAGTACCGGTCGCAGTCTACACGGAGATGGAAAGGATCCTGTGGTTGTTGCGAGTTGCAAGGACAAAGATTGGTAGAGGTGATATGGAAGTGATGTAAGTAAGATAGATGGGCTCCGGTGTCCTGTTAGGAATTGATTGAGGTGGAAAGAAGAAGGAATGGGTAGGCTAAAATGTCGTGAATGAGATATAAAGATGGGAGAATAATTTTAGTATGTGATCCTTATTGAGATTCAGTGTAACGTGATTGCCACTCTTCCAGTACCCGGGTTCGAGAGATATGTATATGAGATATGTTTGATATGTGATATGGGGAATTTGTCATATGATAAAGCTTTTTTCACCTAAATCGCCCACCTTTACCATCCGCTGCTTCATTTTCCGGCTATCCCCACATGTCCATTTACCCAACAATAGCGTATCTTTCCCACTGCAGAGTGTTCGAATATAATTTTGTGGGTTTGGGACACTAGATGGGCTGTACTGCCTCGCTGTTCGAGTGCATCTTAGGCAGATCGAAAGCAGTCGGAAAGAATTAATGTGTCTCGGTATCCCTTTTCAACGGCAAGTTCACAATCTCTAAAGATGGCGTAAAGCTCGGCTTGGAAAACCGAACATGAGTGATGCATTTTAACTTGCGACTAGTGATAGCAGAGGGAAGGTCTGGATCCACGCAGACAATGGCTGCGCCCACGGGGCCGTTGTCTAATTTGCTCCCATCTGTAAAAAATTGGACTGAAAGCTATTGCGTAATTAATTGAGACTCGCAAGGAGGGTGTAATAGCTTGCCAACCGGGACAGGAGCCTCCCAGTGTATATCGTCAGGCAGGTAATGAGAGATGTCAGTCAATCTTCACTGTTAGATTTCAGGTCTAGGGGTGGAAATTGAGCCAGAGCTAAAGAAGCAGTTGTTGACACAGTACAGTAGGCTCTGATAGCACGTATGGCAAAGCTGCGCTGTAAAGACGCTAATTTATTTTTATTATTAAGTAGACGCGCTGTTTGGCCTAGAGATTGCGACCCAGTATATTTTTCAACCCGGCCGGTTTAATTTGTTAGGATGAAATCTTTAAAATACTTTAAAGTTTTTTTAATATATGATAATTTGCTTTAAGTAAATGGAGGGAAAATACAATGATTCAAGGTTACGGAATAATATTTATTTCAAACCAGCAAATCAACAATAATCAGTCTCAAAATCACGAGTTTTAAATACAGAATTAGTTAGTTTCACTTATGAACGGAATAGTAACATTAGTGTTACCAATAAAGTTTAAGCAGGCATTATTATTCAGTAATTAAGTTCAGATCTTCCACGCGCTGATGAAATGCCTGGGTTTAGAGGGTTTCGAGAAAAGTTTGGAAAGTAATTAGATTATTTAAGAAGTCGCCCGCAATTTAATTACTAATTCTATACAGAGTTAAGAGAAAGACGGCAACATCGCGGTTCGCAGTGCTTGCCATGCCAATTTTGTACAAGTTGGAGCTTCCGTGCCGCAGTTTTCATACCTACCGGGCCTTGGCTGCCGTCCAAACCAAAGCCTTGGTTTTTCTTGGTCCAAAATCAAGTTTAACCTCCTGGTCCCAAATGGCAATGGTGTCTAGGGCTTCGTTGGTGATGTGTTGGAGGGCGACTGTATCCTTGGCTGACGCAATCAGTAGGAAATCATCCGCGTAGGAGTCTGGAGAATACATCCATCACGAAGCACAATATCCAACAATTCTTCCAGCAGGAGGTTCCATAGAGTCGGACCACATGCGTATCCTAGAACGCAACCTCCCTTTGTCAAGATTGAGGAGCTCTCTCCACCGTGGGACAACATTACGTTACGACCTTTTAAATAGTCTGAGATTAAAAGGAACAATATTTTTGGGGCAGCCTATTAATTTGAGTCGTGTTAGAATGGCCAGCCACCAAGCAAGTCAAAGGCTGATTATTCAAGAGAAATAGCTACAGTATGGAGATTTCATCTGAGACCAGATTTTATTGTATTGATGCCGTCGTGCAGGGAGTGAATAGTAGGTGAAAGGTGAATCATCCTCGTTATTAGGAAGATTCCTATAAGAGGCTCGAATTATAGACTGAGCTGGCGTGTCTACTTTTGGGGGTCTTGCGGGTAAAAGTGTTGTCGAAGAGCCTAGATGGTATCTTTGCTGCCTGTTGTATATTGACCTTCGGAGAGAACTGTAAAGGGAGGATATCTGGACCCTGCCCTGATAACAGGGTAAGTGATGGTCCGAACCTGTTCCAGTGTTTGTGATTCACAGAATTGTCTTAAATGAGCTGATGATTCTCTATATTGCATTCACGTATTCTGTTATGGTTTTTTGTAGGTTGAAGACTAGAAAGCGAGGCTTGCGGGTGATGCGTTTCAAGACTTGGATTTTGAACTTTGCGTTAAGCATAATGAGGATCTGCTTAATTCGGCATTTTTGCATTTTGATTTCGTTGATATAAAACGTTATTACACACGGTGACAAAGACCCTCTCAGCTGCTGAGTGGATAGCGGCAGTTAATTGGCGACTAAAGGACTCTAAATCTGATTCAGAAAGAATGGATATGTCGACAGATGTGAGATCCCGTTCATGATAAAGCATCATTAGCATAGCTGCGATAGTAAAGAAACAAATATGTGATTTTTATTAAATGTATTTAATAGAATCAGTTGCTTTGTATGTGCTGGTTGAAGAAAGCGATGAAACTTGTAACTCTGGCATAAGCGGCAGGCATTATCGATTCGCACCCAAGGGGAGAACCGAAGGAGGTGATGCCAATCTATAAAAAAATAAACAAAAGTGTTAATCATGTGATTTCAAAATTACCCGTATGATCACAAATTATTGCTATAGTTACAACAATAGATGGTAGGTCACTATCATAATTTTATATTTACATAAATGTACAAATTTTAATGTGATATCTTTTCAAAGAAACTCTATCTGTCTTTTCTGCCCTGTTATATTCAGTCATAGATTTATCAATCTAAGCAACTTTCGCAGTGATCGGTCATTGGATGGGTGTCCAAAAATTTACTATCTTGAGCTCCTTCGTGCTTCGGAAGGCACGTTAAGCCGTTGATCTCGGCTGCATCTGCAGTCGTTAAGCATTCACCAATTCGTAGTGGGCCTGGTGGGTCATGGCCCAATTTCCCTATTCCATTCATAGGAAAGGCCTGTGTCCTAGCAGTGGGGACATTAGTAGGCTGATGATGATAAGTTTAATGAACTCACTAAGATTTGCTGGTTGTCTCTGCTGACGACAAGAGGACCACCGGAGTCACCTTGGCAAGTGCCGACACCGCCGACGCCGCTGGTGCAGATGTTGCTCTCGTGGACAAAGAGAGGGAAGCTGGCGCGGCACACGGAGTTCCTGATCACGTTCAGGTTCACAATGCTCAAAAACTGGCCGGTAGAAATGCCAGCACCTAGAAGAAACAATGTTATCATGATAGCGATATAAAAATTAAAACAATCCATCAAACTGGACTGAATGAACTGACTGAATACATAATGTACCTATTTGAATGACAATAAGGAGTAAAAGCTTACACAACTACCAAAAATAGTAGTTCTTAAACCTTTCGTTTTTATTAGTTAAGAATCAATATTTGGATTTTGATAGAAATAGGTATCAGATTTTAACATCATAAAGGTATAAAAGAATTGCACATATTTACCATCACTGGTCAAGCCAAATCCAGATGCGGTGGCACGTTCACCAGCAAAGTCCTCGTTTAGTAAGCTCGCGGAAGGCAGAGCCACGGGGGAGATAGTGTCTGTAAATTTAATACCATTTTTATAATCCCAAGTATAATATTGAATTTTTGATGCCCTTTTAACTATCCAAAAGCGGTGAAAAATCAAGGAAAATCTCACGGAAAACAAGAGATAAAGATTTAAAACAAGAGTGAAGTATTTTCAAGTATTTTGCCCAATATGTTTTAATAGTAATAATAGTAGATACTTAAATATTCATTTGAAACTTACTTGAAAATTGTACGTTGCTGGGCAAGTAGATCACGGCTACATCATTACGAACTAGAATTGGGATCCAATTCGTATGCATGGCAATCACGCTGGTCTCAATCCTTTGCCCGCCAGAAAAAAGGAGAGTCGATCCCAAGACCACTGTAAGCCTCCACCCCTGGTGCACGCCGTCGGACCAACAATGGGCAGCGGTGATGACTCTGTTTGCACTGACAAGAGAACCGCCGCATACACCCCTGCCCTCCAAGCCAATAATGTCAATGATCAGACCTGCCTGAAAAACAAGAGGTGATCGTAGATTTCGAAACTATCGCACTCTCCTTAGGAAATGTGGTTATTAGATTGTAGAAGGTTCAGCCAATCACTCCACCCTATCTGACTAATGAATAAAAATAAAAAAAATAAGTGCCAATATAACCTTTCTCTTCTCACCAAACAACATGTTTGTATCCCTGATTATCTTACTCAGTGGAGTTTACTATTCCGCGGGTAGAATTTTTCTCTGAAACAATCACTAGCTACTAAAGTTAGCGATTTCTTCAGAGATAAGTAGTTACAACTTTATTATAGTAGTCACAATGATAAGTAGTAACAACTTTATTATAGTACAATACTAGCAAACCAGTGAACCAAAACCTGATTTAAAAAAAAATATGTATTTAATTAATTGAGAACTTCGGAGATTTTGTGTGGTTTCGTTTGAAATTCGTGATTTCTCGAAAACCAGAAGTGCTACGTTACTCAAATCCGGTTTGTAGTCTTATCAGACTATTTTTAACTTATAACTTAAATATTCTCTTTATCTATCTCTTACGGTTTGGCCGCTGAAACAGCACCACAGACAGACAGACGGACGGACTTGTCTAATAGATAAGAGATACTTAATAGTAAACTTTTCTTAAGATTTAAACATCTAGCAGTTAAATGCTTAAAACATAAATAAAATCATAACTACTTAATAGTAGTCACGGATGAAGTTTAAGTTGTAGTTTTGTTTATCAATGTTATACTGAATGACCGGTACCTAAGAATAAGTGAATGTAATGCTCAGGAAGTCAGGATACACCGGTGTATATCGACAATCTCCAATTACGAAGTCCGAAATTGGTTTATCTTTTTATTTCATTCGAATATACACCGGATATTTTATCTAACACGACATTCACAGCAAATATGATATTTGTTTCATACTAGAACTTGTATGGATTACTTAAACGTGACTATGTGTTACGTGATGTGTCATTACTTACTTACTTACAAAAACTTTTACCCAAAGACAATTAATACTGAATTTGGTTTCTACCTACCCTCTCATTACAAAAATATGTGTCTTATATTTTTATCTCGTCAAGTTTTTTTAATACACTCTCATTAAATTATTTTGCTAACTTCTTACCGCAGTACCATGGTACTGAGTTAATATTCGGTTTTGTTGTATTAAACATTTTTATTTGTTTTAAAATGGCCTCAAGACAGTGTAAATTAAATCTAGATAAGTTTTGCTATATTTTATATATTTCGAAAAGATACTTGGTATTCATTTAAAGCAGTAGTAAAAAAAAAACTTGGACAATCAGAAGATTATGAAGAAATTGTTTCCAATTTGTAGAAGAATTACCATAAGATGGGGGTGAATACGTCATTAAAAATTCATTTTTTTACATTCGCACCTGGATTTTTTTTCTGAGAACCTAGAAAGCGTAAGCGATGAACACGGTGAACGTTTTCATCAAGATTTGAAGATTTATGAAGAGAGGTACCAAGATTTTTAGGATAAAAATATGTTAGGTGATTACTGCTGGTCTATATTAAGAGAAACTGCTAATCAGTACATAAGAAGAAGTTATCTATGTCATTTTTGACTTTTTTGTAGGTCACACAAAAAAATGTTAAAAACAAATATAGTAAATATTTAAAAACTGACGTCCTATTCTTTTCCCACTTCAGTATCTAACATAGGGTTTATTTCTCTAATGATTGACATTAATTTCATATATGGGTAAAAACCTTCTAAAGTAGTGTTATGTAAGGAATACCTGGTAAGGAACTTGTGCGTGTGTAGCCGGCACACCTCCGACGATTCTCTGGTTCAGGAACTGTTCTTCCCTTGTCCGCAACTTCTCTCCTAGGGCAATGGAATTCTTCAAGTATCCATAAGCATTAGTCTGAGGCAACACGCTCGCCTGAGCGAACGCTGCCGCCACTAACAAAAGAGCTAAAGATTTCATTCTTGCGAGTTCACCAACGCTAAGCCGCTTTGTTACCCTATCACGACTTATTTATACCAAAAAAAGGAAAAGATAAATTTTCCGATAAATTAACAAATGCGATACTAATCTGTTCGATAACGCTACAAATCAGGTGGTTTTAGATGACTGTTCTGATTGATTATCATTTGTTTCGCTTTATGATTTTATTAATTAAATTCAATATTATTTACATCTCTCAGGTCTTTCACGGGCTTATATGATAAGTAAGGTTTTAAAAAATCAAATATTAGACTGCTTAATTATTACTTCAAATAAAAATTGAAAAGAAAAAAACAAGTCTAGTAGTCTAATAATTCTGTTAAGTGAGGAAGAAATCTGATGTGATAAAAACAAATGCAGTGTCATATCCTAGTCTCATAATTTGTTTTACCTACATAATTCACAGAAACTAAATATGTAGATGCCAGAGGTTTACTTCAATTGTTGTTAATCAACCTATATACATACAATACCAATCAATGACGTTAATGTCGCAGGTTGACAAAAGGAATAATTCCCGTCTGTTGTTTTGGTCACTGGTGGAAACTGCCTTAGATTGCTAATTTAAATATTTAAACAATCACTACAGCGCAAAAAAGTTTGTAATATTTGAATAAACCAAAGGCGTAGACAATTTCCTCAGCGTTAGGTACAGCACCACAGCAATCTCATTTATTATCAACTAGCTGTAGCCCGCGGTGTTACCCGCGGTTTATTAGGAATATTTTCCCGCAGTTAATCGCAGCCTATGTGTTAATCCAGGGTGTCAGCTCACTCCATACCAAATTTTATTAAAATCTTTTCAGCCGTTTAGACATTAAGAAGAAACAAACATACAAAACCTTACTTAAAAATTGTACCTATTTGGATAAATAAGTATCTACTAATTTTAATTGTCCAATTATTTATTACCAAAGGAAGTTCTTTTTACGAGTAGTTTATGTAACTTTTTATTAAAGAGATCTTTAAAACGTAAGTTGTATTTTATTGGGAATTCAAAAAATCCTGAGATTTCATGAGATTTGCAAAATCCAGCTGCAATCCTGAGAAGAGCCCAAAATCCTGAAATCTCAGGCCAAATCCTGAGATATGGTAACCCTAGTGGCGTCGGCGTAGTGCCACTCGATGCCTGTGTCTCCTCTTCATTTGTCGGTGCGTAGTGTTGGTTCCATACGGGGTTGTGCAAAAGACGGTGATGCGCTCCTCTACAATTTTCCTTATCACAAGCGGGTGCGGAACACGTTTCCCTGTCATGTCGAGATTCAATGCCTTATTGCTTACACTTTTCAATTTATGCTTACTTTTCTTACAAAAAGTACAATTTTCCGCTATGGCTTTAGAAGATACAACCAGTATGGTATAATCCCTTAGTGATACCGCCACGGTTTAAATGTTTGTTTTGATCAAAACTGCGCGTTTCCATAATAATTATATTAGCAGTGGTAGGTATTTTAATTGCTTCTTCGCCTTATCATGAATTTTTTCCAGTTTTTCAAGTAAAAAGTTTAGCTTTTAGAGGGGTGGGGGGGGGACCGATAATTTTTTAAACACTCGTCACATAAAACAGAACTTTTTTAAAGTTTTCGATAACTTCTAACTGCATGTTGTGTTTAGAGGCAGGGAGGACTTCCCGCAATGCATCTCAACAAACAAACAACGGCAGTCGTGTCTGCATTCACGAGGGACTGTCACTCAAGCACTCGCCCGGAACAACCCAATGATATTAGCTTCCCACTTTATCCTGACCTTTGAAACACTAAGCTTGTTACCCAAGTTGTTCTTCACCAGAACCCATTGAAAGGGCCAGGGGAGGTCTCTCAAAATTGGCTGCTTTCAGTCTACGGGCCAAACTCTTTAGTCATGCTGTTATTGTATTTGGTTTTGATTTACTCGGCAGCTTTGGTCGGTTATGTACCTAATAAATTTGTTTTGACTAAGAAATATCTTTCGTAGGTTTTTTTTAAAGAGAATTAGCAACGTGTGAAGGTATATTTATCTGTTTTTATTATTGTATTCTGTTTTAAGTATTAGTACTTATACTAAATGGCAATAGAAATTATATCATTTGTGAAAATTTCAACTGCCTAGCGGTCACGGTTCATGATATACAGCCTGTTGGTATGAGCAGACCCATCTTTCCCAGTGGGCACTTTGGGCAAGTGCCCAGGGCACTGCGATCGATAGGGCGCCCCCTATACTCCTCAGATCAAATAAACAAACGGAAGTCATAGGGGCCCTATTATCCTAATATGCCCAGGGCCCCAATAGGTCAAAGACGGCACTGGGTATGAGTTACAGATAGACGGACGGTGGAGTCTTAGTAACAGGATACCACTTGGGTGTGGAACCCTAGAAATCAGAAATTGTAGTCACTATAGCTCCCTGATAATCAAATTCCACTCAACTTTCCCAAATGCCTAATGAAAACCATATTACTAAGCCTTCACTGTTCGTCCGTTCGTCTATCAGTTAGGATGCTGTATAAACTGACAACAAATAATAAAAATAGAAGCAATATTAAGAATCAGAGGGCCTATAATAAAAGTTTTACTAAACCTTAAAAATCGACTTATTTAAGTCGGCGAGATAACCCACCCCATTTTTTGATTAATAGTAAGAAAATAACCACTTAATTGGTTTAATTTGTTATGTACAAACCCATTCATAGTTTTGGCGTTTTCCGATGGTGTCTTGTCCAATTAACTGAACCACGTTTGGGCCATGTCTTCATCATAAGGCGCTATCTACTAAAAATATATCTACCTATCGACAAAACAACATTCAGAAGAGCAGGTGTATCTTATACAAATCTAATATTATTGAAAATCTTTAGATTTTAAATGCTTCAAATATAAAAATATAATAAACAATAAAATGATGATGTTATCCCTCACTATATATTATTAAAAGTTATATTATTATGCAACAAAAAACAGTTAATTTAAAAAATCAAAAATCTCGCTTACTTATAAATTAGTATAAATAAAACAAAAAGAAAATAAAAACAAGTCCTGTAGTGTGGAACCCTGTTAAGTAAGAAACGAAGCTACTTTATCAGTCGAAAACCATTATTTTGTTCCCGGACTATTATAGGCATGTCGAAAGTTGAAAAAAATATCGATATATCGATACATCAATATTTAAAAAAAATATCAATATCGGCTTCGATATATCGCGAAAAAAACATCGATATATCGAACCATTTTCCCAAAAATATATTTAACTACCTATATTTAACTCACGAAATATGCCACGCGGATCTCCCTAAAAGTAGACTCGATTTTCGAATGATGAAAATGATTGCAGGGCCTCTCAGGTGTCATCTTTCGTGAACAAGACTAGACAGTCACACACTTCCACAGAATATAATGGAATTCAGCGCAACCAATTCACCAGCAAAACAGATTCACAAATAATAGACAATACTAAATACAGCACAGATCATAGATATGTTCAATATCATTAATCTGAGATCCAGTTCCGATTTTTCCAGATACGAATTTAGTGAGATCGTGATATGCCGCTAATAATTAAAAAAATATCGTTTTTGATACGAATTTCGATATTGGTTATTTTGTATCGATGTATCGATATATCGAATCAAAATATATCGGCAAAAAATATCGATATATCGATACATCGATATATTTTCAACAAGCCTAGACTATTATTCATCAACACTTCACCTAAAAAAAGTAAAATTATTCTGTTTGATATTAGTAATTGATAATACCTGAAAATAAAATGGTATCTTTTTGGGAATTGTTATGTCAGCAGCAGTATATTACAATAATTTCTTCTAGTAAATTTTCTTATGTTTTCGTAGTTATTGTTTACATTTATCACTTATATATTGAAAACAATTATTAGTGTCATAAAAATTCAAAACTATGCCAATATTATATTTTACATCCATAAAATGCTTAGTCCACAGTTTCTTGAATGCTTTTAACTACAGTGGTTTAATTAAAAAGTATTTAATTTTTTTATGATGATTGCTCCTACATTCTTCTCGCTAATTATGTAAAGAGATACGACAGACACAGTTTACTTAGCCGCAACGAGGTATGATGTATCTGGAGATATCATGTCAAGTTTCCTGGACGTACTCCTGCATTGAACAAGCTTGCAAACATAACATGTCCAATTAAATCAATTCAGGTTGAGGATGCCAGGTTATATATAACCACAGGCGTCATAGAATTAACAGTGTCATAAATAATATTTAAGACCACATTGTCTTTTTATAGTGCTGACTCCTAATGCGAATGCAACTTTGCGTGGGCGTCAGCATAGGGAATATGCATTTTTTTATATTTTTATTTAGTAGTTTACATTTCCTTTATACAATATAAAAAAACAGAGAAAATAGTATAAAGTATTTCAAAAAATATTAAAATAAAAAGGTAAATTTAAAAAATCAAAAAACCCGACTGCTTAATTATACTTCAAATAAAAACTGAAAAGAAAAAAACAAGTCCAGTAGTCTATAATTCTGTTAATAAGGAACAAAGCTACTTTAACAGTCGGGACCCATTAGATATTTAAGAATACATAATATTTTTCAACAGTGGGTCCCGACTGTTAAAGTAGCTTTGTTCCTTATTAACAGAATTATAGACTACTGGACTTGTTTTTTTCTTTTCAGTTTTTATTTGAAGTATAATTAAGCAGTCGGGTTTTTTGATTTTTTAAATTTACCTTTTTTATTTCACACTTTTTAGTTAGTTAGTATTTTAAGACGGTATATACCGTAGTCTTGTTACTTCATTAAGGGAATTAATATCGCGGGAATTATTAAGTACCTTGCGTCGGTCTAAAAGATTGATTTATTAAGACATATAAAGACTTTACCCGCGGGGTCAAGGCTACAGATGGGCCTCAATTTTCGCAAAAATGTGTGAAGTTATATCAAGTCGTTACATAAATATCTCTAATGTATGTAAATTTTATAGTAAACTAGCACTTACTCAAAAATTCATCTTTTGTTTATGTTTTTTTTTAATAGTTTAGCAGTAAATATAAAATTCATTTACTTTTATTCGTCGACTATTTAAAATTGGCAGTGGCTGCATTGTCATGTCAATGC